GTCCGAGTCCTGAGTAAGATAAAATGGTGTGAGATCAAGTTGTTCCAACTACGCGCTAGGAAACGACAAAGAAGCTTACCACGGAGTTTGTCGCTTTCCGACGGGTCCCGAGTACGGAGGAGAATTTCCTCCACTTTTTTGGAACGTTGCTACCACTCGTGGTGGCAGCAACAGTGTCGGATGCCTCCTTGGTGACGCTCTCCTTCAACGACGCTGCCGCCTGGTGGTCCACGAGCAGCCCGATGACGTCCGTTAGAGGGAGAGCCTGCACAACGTGAAGTCACGATGCGATCTCGAGAGGAAAGATGTAAAGGAGTCATCGAGTACACTCACATTAATCGTTGTGGCGTGTTCGGCCGGGCCTTTCTCGCAAAGGGAGATCGGGATGTCGCCCGCTGCTGAGGGGGCACTGATCATCACCTGACCGACGCGGTGCCCTACGGTGTCACTGTCCAGACCTGTAAATCGAGAACGAGAACTCAATAAGTCAGGAGAAACAGATGCACTCGGAATAAAATTAGAAATGCAAGAAAAAATACCCCGAGGAGAGACCGGGTCGTGTCCGCTGGCCCAGAGTAATCAAAGGCCGGATGGGCGTGGACCTGTAGCGGTTGAATCCGCCTACCTACGAAGTTGGCAGCGACTTCGTATCCCGACAACCCCTGTTTTTGGATATCATCAATGATTTCGATAAAAGATTGGAGGGAGGGAGTCAGGGCGGGTTTGGCAGGCCACTCTGGGATTTTTTCTGGCTGATCTTCAGGGAAAACAAGGACGGGATCTGAGTTCTCTATCTGAAGATAGAACCACCTCGCCCGCCACTTGCTGCGAGAAGAGGGGCATTGGAAGGGGATGTAATGCGACTTCAGGCGATCCCGAAGTCGGAATCCAACGCATCCAGATACCCTGTTGGGTTCCATCTAATGCAGCTCATAGTAAAAGCGGAAGAGATCAAGGAAGGGCTCTACCCCAATGTAGGCCTCGCAAAGATGAGAAAAGATGCTAAGGAATGCGATGGAGTTGGGGTTCAAGTGAAGCAAAGAAAGGCTATAGAAATTCAAGACGAGAAGAAGAAACTCAGAAGGCAGAGGAAGAAAACCACAAGAAATGTAATCTTCGACCATAACCATGCGGCCCAAGATGGGTTCAGGTTCTATACCTCCTGCCTCCCTCTGCATGGTCCCGTGACTAGGGAGGGCACCGTCGTCTTGCAACTTCTTCATGGATGCAGTGGTTGAGGTGGACTTTTCAAGATCCATAGTCGCCGGAAGATCGCCAGAGAACAAGATGAAAGAAGCAAGCTAGGGTTTTCTTTGCGAAGAGCGGAGAAGACGAAGAGCTTTTGAGGGTAGGAGAGTTTTTTGGCAAACAGACTTCAAATGGATTCCCAAAATTCCTTTAAATAAGCGCACTGCCGACGGTGCGTATTCCAAGGTAAGGAGAGAGATTGCCGCCGGAAAATTCTGGGTCTGTTGCGCGTGGTAGTTTTCAGACTTCAATTTAAATTCACTCATAACCGTTGGACTTCATGCGGTGTTGTCGATGGCTCTTTGTCTCTACGGTTTTTACACCGAGATCGATCAGATGAGAACGACAACAATTCCGACATCGGAAGTCGTGATCGACTACATGAGTTCATTTAAGCAGAAGTCGGGGGCTACTGTCAGGGTTACAGATAAGGTATACCCTCTATCCTTGGACATATGATGGGAACCGATACGGTAAACCCGCGCGTGTATAGATAGTTTCCGTATACGTTAAGGGAATCTATCACGTGATAGAAACAAAATCTACGGATGGAAGGAGTCCTACTCGGATGAGGCTGGGTTTTTACCATATTGTGAGGGGTCCGATATCTCCGAGTCATACTTGGAGATCAACTGACCCGCAGTATATAAGGGACCCCCTGGGCAGGACCTAAGGCATTGAATATTACTGCCAACACATCCCCCACAGCCTATGGAGCCGGAGCCTACAGGAGCCAAGTCGCCGGGAGATCTAGTCGGACCAACTCGACTACGGTCTCGTCGGTATCATCGAGTTCTGTTATTCCCTTTGTAATATGTGGTTTCCATCATATGATCCCATATCAACTGGATTAGGGCTATTACCTACTAAGGGGCCTGAACCAGTATAATTCTTGTCTTTTGTTTACTTGATGTTGTACTACGTAGATCCTCGTATCAACGGACCCCATATCCTCTATATCCGGTCTACGGGTATCCCCGTCGACAGAACTGATCTTCTTTTCATATTGGAAAAAGTACGAATTACCCCCCTGAACTATCACGGTTGACTGAATTACCCCCCTAAACCCAAAAACCAGACATTGTTCACCTTAAACTTTCAATACCGGACAAATTACCCCCCTCGACCTAATCCAGAACAGTTTTGTCCTACGTGGCGTACACGTGGCAGACCAGTCAGCATTTTCTTTATAAAAATATGGGACCCACCTGTCATACTCCTCTTCCACTCTTCCTCTCTCTCTATCACTCTCTCTCTCACTCTTCCTCTCTCTCTCGCGGGTCGGCAGCAGGCGGTGGGCGGCACCGCGGGACGCAGAGGCGGATGTGGCGACGCAGGACACGAAGGCGGCGGCGGCGGGGGACAAGGAGGCGGCTGCGACCACGACAAGCAGCCGCCCCATCGGCGCAGGGATGGACGGAGGCGGCGGCGGCGTCGCGGCAACCATGACGAGCAGCCACCCCCTCGGAGCGGGGATGGACGGAGGTGGCGGTGGCGTCCACGAACGTCGAGGGATTCGTCGTCGGTTTTCTGCCGTCAATCATGGCGGCTAATGTTTCGTAGTTCATCCGCAAGTAGGAAGCAAGTCCAGTCAGTGCAAGCTACAAGCAGCATGAAGCAATCAAATCCACAAGCAAGAAGCAAGCAGCGGATGCACGAACAAGCATTCAGATCAAGTCCTTCGTCACCACGTTGGTTGTAGCCAGGCCGTACTCGTCGTGCATCTTGTCGTTGCGCCTTGCCATGCCTCGTCGTCGTCACCGCGTTCCCATTCGCCGGTCGAAGCCGCTGTCGTGGCGCTCTTCATCGTCGCCAGCGCCATCATTCGGCGCTGTCTAGAGGAAGAGTGAGAGAGATAGAGAGAGAACGGCCTGTTTGGTTGGAGGGAGTTTTTAGGAGGGATTGGGAGTTTAGAGGGATGAGGCTATTAAGTGTTTTGTTTGGTTGAGAGACATGGGAATTTTGGTGGGATAGGGATGGGGAATTGAGCAAGGAACTCCCTCCTTTTTGATACCTGGGTAGGGGCAGGTAATTGGGAGGGAATTTCTCCTTTACTTTTTCTAAGCAAATCTCAGCCATCCGTTTTTATTAATGACCTAATCTCCAACTAAACTCCCTGTCAATTTCCATCACCTCTACCAAACAAGATATTGGGATTAAAAATCAAATTCCCATCTTAATCTCATCATCAATTCCCTCGTGTAAACTCCCAATCCCCTTCCCTCGAGTTACCAAACAAGCCGGAAGAGAGAGAGGAAGAGTGAAAGAGGAGTATGATAGGTGGGTCCCATTTTTTTTAAAATAAAATACTGACTAGACTGCCACTCGTACGCTACGTAGGACAAAACCGTTCTGGATTGGGTCGAGGGGGGTAATTTGTCTGGTATTGAAAGTTCAGGTGAACGATGTCTAGTTTTCAGGTTTAGGGGGGGTAATTCGATCAACTGCGATAGTTCGGGGGGTGATTCGTACTTTTTTGCTTGGCAAATTTTGCTAAGGACATTGTGACTTCGCAGTTTTAGCTGTAGGACACCGCACAAAGTCACTTTTGGAGGAAGACACCCTATAAACGTAGTAATTTTCTAGTGGACACCGCACCCATTAAAATAATAATTTTCGGTAGAAGAGGAGAGAGAAATCGTGTGAAATGTCAGAAATACCCCTGGACCCACATGTCAGCTCTCCCATCTCTTTTCTCTCTCACCCACAAGTTTTTCTCTCTCAGCCAACCATGGCAGGTGGCGGCGGCAAGTCTGTCGTGGCAGCGCTGGCCGTGGCCTTCTTCCTCCTTGCCGCCTTTGCTTCGGGTTTGTCGACTGGGGATGCCACGTCGGGGAGAGGTACCAGCGGTGGGGGAGGCAGCGGCGCGGCTCAGCTTCGGCAAGCACCGCCTACCTTGGCACCACGCCCGCTGGTAGGGGACGCCACGTTGGGGAGGCGTACCGACGGTGGGGGAGGCAACGGTGCGGCTCGGCTCCGGTAAGCGCCGAGCGGAGTAGCGGTTCGGTGGGGGCGACGACGTCTTCTCCCCTCCCACGGCCACGAGGGCAGTGGTTGCGGAGATGGAGCTCTACGACCTAACCGGCGGCTGCGCGGAGCGAAGGCTGCACGGGGATGGAGAACCTCCCGGGCCACGCCGCAGCAAGGGCCTCGGTGAAAATCTGCGCGGCGAGGAGGAACGGGTGCGGGGATGTGGCGACGTCACCCGCCGTGTCGCCCGAGCGGGAGCTGTGAGGACGTAGAGCGCAGGGAGCACAGCGTCGGCGAGGAAGCCGAGCACAGGGGTTGAGAAGGCGATGTCGGTGAGCGGCACGGTGGTGGAGAAGGCGAGCACGACCGTGGCGCCGAACCAGTTGAGCTGTTTGATGGAGAAGAGGTAGTAGTGGTGGTGTGGCCACACCATTGGCGACGTCGGTGTTGGGGTGGTCGCTGGCAGTGACCGGAGGATACGGCCGGAGTGTGAGAGGGAGTTAGTTATGGGGGAAGATTATGACAAGTGGACCCAAGGGTATTTTTGATATTTTACGCTGTTTATCTTTCCTATTGAACGAGAAATCAATATTTTAATGTCTGCGGTATCCATTAGCAAATAACTATATTGAGTGTCTTTGCGCGATGTCTCCCAGCTAATACCACATAGTCGCGAAATTGCCTTTTTTTTTTCTTTCATATTTGTATCGTTTTGGTAGGGGATGGGATGTGCTATACGGGGGAATGGACTGAGTGCTTGGCGAAATTACTAAAATATCCTCGCTGTTTTTTGACGTATAGTTGTCCTCTGTCGTGAGTTATCCATCAGTTTGCCCTCCGCCGCCGCCGCCTCCGCCGCCGCCGATCCCCATCCATCCCGCGAGGCGCCGGCGAGCAGGGCGCCATCGTTCGTCATGCTGCTTCCGCCGCATCCTGGTGAGCACATCCTCCGCCACCGCCGCCTGCGCCGATCCCCATCCATCCATTGCGCGAGCGGGCGGGCGAGCAGGGTCGCCGTCGTTCGTCCTGCTGCTCCCGCTGCATCCGTTACGCACGTCCTCTTTCCCCCATCTCTGACTCTCCACCCACGCACTTTCTCTCGAATTCGCGTTAGCCCTAGCTTCTGCTGTAGAAATTTGCCTGAACCTTAATACTAATAGCAGTTTGTTTGTTCCCAAAAGGTTTAGGGGTTCAACTGAACCCCCATGTCCCATTTTAGATCCGCCACTGCCTATTCTATCTATATCGTGTGCACTTGAGGTACAGTCATGTGTATGGTCTAGTGTTGTCGTAATTAAAACCCAATGATGTGCCCTTTGGATGGGTTGAGCACAGCAGTTTACAGTAGTGTTATTTCGTATTTTGGAATTAGTGTTTCTTTATACTTTGGAGACTATCCTGTCTTATATATAAACTAACTGGAACATTTCCAATGAAACAGTTTTCACCGATAGCATCATATGTGACGCGTAACTGAAACAAGCATCGAAATACTATTTTCGTTCATTGGTATGTTCTCATTGTTAGGGTGATTTTCAACTCTGAGAAAGAAAGCACATCGGTGAGCCAGAACCTTCTTGACAAACCTGAATCAGAGACATGCGACGCCGGATGGATGATGTGAGTTCGTTATTTCTAAACCCCATTTCTTCCATCTTCTATGTTTCATCTATGGGGGCATATATTATACCAAAGTGAAGTATGCCCAGTTAATTTTCTTATTTACTTGTTATGATTGAGTTATCGTGTGCTGATCCTCTTGAAATATATTGTACTTGGGTGTAAATACAAAGTAATGATATATATGATGATACGACTGATATTCTATACCATATCGTCCAGCCATAACATATATGATATATGGACAAAATTTAAAGCCCTGTGATGGTTTCAATTTTCAGCTAGTGTCAAACGCACAAGAGAACAATGTCACCTATGTGGATAGTAGTTCTGAAGAAAGTGAAGATGTGAGTTTGGAAATTTAATTTAGTGCTGTATCACTTACTTACTGCACCTCAACAAGAGGCATTTAAATTGTATGAAGGATTTTTTTTGTTGTGGTTTTTTATTAAAATTTGATGTTGTAATGTGTGTAGCAACAGGTGAAAATATGTGACATATGTGGAGATGTTGGTGAGGAGAAGAAGCTTGCTATTTGCAGTAGGTGCAATGATGGTGCTGAACATATGTGAGATTTCATTGTTCTTATATTCTTTTTCTGTATAATTATTCCATGAAATTTTTTAATGAGATAACATGAAGTTTTAGGGAGAATTATTGCTGTCTTGGCATTGGATTATCGATGAAAAATGTGTTTAGTTCATTTCTTTTCCATAACGTCTTGTCTGAAGATAATACTGTTTTGTTTCTTGAAGTTCTTACATTTTCTAATGCCTCCAGTTACTGCATGAGGGTAATGATGCCAGAGGTTCCAGAGGGTGATTGGTTTTGTGAAGAGTGCCGAACTGAGATGCAGATTGAAAAAGAAAAGAGCATACTTGAGAAATCTCAAGTGAAGGTTAGTACAATTTCTGTAGGGAGTAAGGTGAAGGCTGCAAATGTGAGTAGTAAAGACCTAAATGTGAGTAATATATCCAGTAAGAGTACAAAAGAAGATGCAGGTATTATGACAAATCTGAACCAACATCTGGCATGTATTCTGTGCATTGTGTTTGTCTTGTGTAAATAGTAATGTCCTTCATTTCCTATGGGATCAGAGGAAGGGATTGTCCCTAGTGGCTGTACTTCTACAGGAAAGGAGGAAGACGGTAGATCATGCATTGGTGGCAGTGAGGCTGCTAATAAAAACGAAGAGCAGACATCCAGTGGGAGAAATGATGATTTTAATTTGAAGATACTAGATGGAGAGAGGCATATGCAAAGCCACAATAATGATGTTCCATTTACATCCGTGGCTCATGACATATCTAATATGGCTGTAAAGAATAAAAGTTCTATAAAGAGTGAGGTTAAAAGTTCTGAAGAGGTTGAAGATGTGAGTTTTAAACTTCAAATTTCTGTTTCACCGTATATCACTTGCTCTATCTTTATAGGTGGCACTGTAAACATGGTACGGAGTAGTTTTTCTCTTTACACTTGAGTTTTGAATCTTTCAAATAACAACAGGTGAAAGTCTGCGACATATGTGGAGATATTGGTGCTGAGGAGAAGCTTGCTGTGTGCAGTAGATGCAATGACGGTGCTGAGCATATGTATGATTTCTTTATTCTATTGCTTTTTCTATATTAGGTGTTTTCAGTTCATGAATGCAGTATGAAAACCCGATTTCATGTGTAATATATTATATCTGGTGAAAGTCATATCAGCTATGAGCCGATATCATGGTAGTTATCCTATAGCTGTAGCAGCGATCGCCTGCTGTCATGGAAGCTATCCTAAATGCATCCTACAAGTTTCGATGACCTGTTGAATACATTGTTGTTGTCAAAGCTAAAATTTGAAATTGTGGACAATGCAAGCATCATCCTGAAATTTCAGTGAAAAGGCATATTAAGAGCTATGTCTGCTAAGTTTGGAAAAATAATATTTTGTTTAAATTAACAGACCCATGGAATATTCTGGATTTTGCACACGTGGAACATCGAATGATAAAAAAAGAACTATATCTCGTGTTATATTTAATTTTAAATGATTTATGTTTATACTTTGTAGAAATATGATTATAAGAATCACTGTCAGAAAATGTCAAGGAATTGAACAACAGTCAACATATAGAATTATGCAACTTACAGGTTTACCGCTACAATGCAAGCTATTTTCTGTACTGCTAATAACATCTTATAACATGGTGTAGTTAAATTTCACGTCATTTTGAGCATGGTGTAACTTTGAGGCCTGAAAGGGCCATTGCATGTAGCACTCGATGGATAGCATATTACCATGATTAACGTTGATTCAGCATATAGTAACCAGTACTAGGAAGGAAAATTTGGTCGATTTGTGATTTCGTTTACATGATGTCTTATCTGATGGCAATTCTGTTTAATTTCTGGATTTTTTTCACATCTTGCACCTTCAGTTACTGCATGCGAGTGATGATGCAAGAGGTTCCAAAGGCTAAGTGGCTATGTGAAACATGCCATAGTGAAGTAGAGAGTGAAAAGAGAAAGAACAAAATAGAAACATCCGAATTAAAGGTTGGTGGTTCCAAAGGACCAATGAACAAACCAAGTTCTTCTGAGAATGGTGTGGATGCTGAAAATGTGGGAAGTAATATGTCAAACAGAGGAAATGAAATGAACAGTGTCAACAAGAGGAAGGATGGGGATGCAGGGATTACTTCACTGGTGAGACAAAATCCAGTGTCACGTGAAAGCTCATTCAAGCTGGATGGAAAGAAAGGAAAGGACCCTGCTGGACATGTTTCAACCTTGTTGACATCTAATTATCCTAAGAATCAAATGGCACCTCTTCGCGGTAAGTTAGTATTGTTAATGTTCAATTGGAACAATATTTGCATTCTGCACTTAGGAAATTTCTAGTTCTGTTACTGTTGCAGGGCCTCACCTTGCAGGCCTGCAACCAAAGAAAACTTTACACCAAGCTTCAATGCAGGTCAACTCTCCAAATCCACTTCTTTCAACAATTCAAAGGTCCCTAAGGTGAAACAGCTACTGAATGAAGTTCCTCAGAAGCCCAAAACTTTCAAGGACTCTTTGTCCACTCCTATGAGAAAAGAGGGGCCAATGGGAATACTTGCTAAGTCAGCATCATTTAAAAAACCTAAATGTTTTGAGCCAGTAAATAAGGCAAAGCCTTCCACGGTGATGAATCCACTTGTGAGCGAAAATGCAAGAAACGATATATTGACTTCAATATTAGGGTCCCGCTCCCTTACTGGATCAGTGACTGTCCCAGTTCATTCGAAAGCACAGTCTTCAGCACAACATCTCAATAAAGGAAATAGAATGGCTGATTCAAATATTTTAGGCACTTCTGGCGGTGAAGGTGCTAGAAGTTTTCTTGGTAATTTTTGGTTATTTCCTTTTATATCTTTGGTGCTTTTAACCTTTTTTTCTGGATGTCTTGACTCTAGTAAGGTCAGTATCCCATTATAGGATAACTTTACTTTGTTTTCCAGGACATTGTGGTATAAAGAAACCTCCTCACACAAAAGGACATGCCAACATAGGTATGCTTGGTTCAGGTGCACAGAAAAAGACAATTCAGGTTCCAGATTCATCACATCTGGATGATCAAATAAAGAGCCCATCTAGCTTGGTACCTAGTAATTCTAGCAGTGTGTCCATTCCTGGCAGCGCATCATTGAGAGATCACCAGACTGTACCTTCCATGCGAGGAAGATCTGTGGACAGCATCTCTGCCATGTCAAAGGATATGAAGGAAAAAAAAATAACGTTTTCCAGTCAAAGCTTTTCACCTAGCTGTAAACATATAGCTTCAACTATTCCAGAGTTGGATTATATTTGGCGGTATGAATATTCTTCTCTTGCTCTCATATAAATCCATATTATGAAATCACATTTCATATATGTGTTTTGCCAGATTATGCTCATACCTTATCTAAGGTGTTTTTGCATGTGCAGTTCATAGTGCATGTTCTTTTAATCATGAAACTCTTATTTTCGCATTAGCTGTTGCTATCGTTGTATTAGATAAAATTGTTTCTGTGCCATGCATTTTAAAGTTCTCTTTTTTAACAGAGGTGGTTTTGAGCTGTCAAGGACTGTAAGATCACCTGTGCTTTGTGAGGGTTTGCAAGCCCACTTATCATGCTTTGCATCACCTAAAGTGCTGGAAGTAGCAAAGAAATTCCCTTCTAACGTCCAGCTTGAGGAACTTCCTCGTCAGAATTTATGGCCTCCACAATTTCATGATAATGGCCCTACGATTGACAGCATTGCTCTTTTCTTCTTTGCGAGAGATACTGAAAGGTGTGTCCTCTTCTGCTTCTCACGTTCATATTTGATTCATTTGATCAGAAAGAATATTCATTGAATGTACAGATTTCTAACTCAAATTACTTTGGTCTGCAGCTATGAGATTCACTACAGGAAGTTGGTAGAAAATATGCTAAAGGATGATTTAGCACTCAGAGGAAATATTGAAACAGCTGAATTGCTCATATTTGCTTCAAACACCCTACCAAATAACTTCCAACGTAATAAATTTCTCACCAATTTTCTAGTGATATTTTACCTCAGCAAAATTTTTGGTACTATTATTGATTTTAATCTAATTCTGCTTCAGGATGGAACATGTTCCATTTTCTGTGGGGTGTATTTAGAGTTAGAAGAAAAGATGCCAACCTTCCACCTGATCTACCCATATGTGAGTTCTAATTTTGTGATGGATCTATTGACTGGATCTGAGTAGGGGTGAAAACGGTACGGAAACGGACGGAAACCACCTTTATCGTTTTCGTTTTCATATATTTTTTCGGAATCGGAAACCCGGTTATGAAAACGGAATTGAATATTATCGAAACCGAAAACGGAGCGAAAACGAACCGGCGCGAATACGGTAATGAAAATTTATCGGAATATAAAACCCCCTCAAACTGATAAATCCAATTCTCAAGTCTCAACGGTCAACAATTCATCATAAAACACAATCATATAAGTTCAATTGTTAAGTCTCACAATACATCACAAAACACAATCTTTGGAGTAAATAATCTATGTTTAAGAGAGTAGTGTTGTTGATAAATCCCAATGCAGGGAAAAAATATTCTTATGTAACTTTAGATTTGCATAACAAATATTTTTTAGAAAAGTAATAGCCAAACACCATGGTATTCACTATTTAGTGCTTAAAAAAAGAATCTAGGGTATTTTAGGGGTTGTTTGGTTCGTGACCACATGTTGCCACACTTTGCCACACCTCAAGTTAGGCAGCTTTGACTAAGTTAGCCAGGCGTTTGGTTCATTGCCACACTTGTGGCAAGATTCTTTTTCTAGCACTTTGGTCCCACATGTCATTGTCTCAGAAAAGTGTGGCAATGTTATAGATTGCTAGCCAAAGTGTGGTGCCAAATTTGTTCGCCTTACCTTAGGCAAGCTTGGCAAGAAAACTATGGCAACCCTAGGCAATGTTAGTATATGAACCAAACAACCCCTAATTAGTCACAAAATTTTCGGAAATTCCGAGAAAATTTCCGGAAAGTTTTCGACCGATTCCGAGTTCCGACGGAAACTGCCCTTATCATTTTCGATTCCATTTCCGAGAAAATATTTCCGAATTGTTTCCGTTTCTGAAAAATTCTTTTCACCCCTAGATCTGAGTGCTCCTGTTTTTCCTTCAGGGCATTCATCCTCTAAAGACCAGCATAATGGTGCTGAATTTGAACACAACTTTGTTAAAGTCAGTTGCTCACAAAGATTTCAATTGTCTTGTGCCTTCAGATGATAATAATCAGGGGTGCTCGAATGGTGTAAAATCTCTATTTCATCCTTTGGTTGGAAATCCTTTAGACGGGCAGTCTCATGATTCAATCACAGCAATGTTTCCAACAAATAACAGTAGTGCTATTGATGATTTTCTCCCTGTCCCGACAAGAAAAGACCTTGTGAGTGTTTCTAGCTCGTTCTTCAGGATAACATTTGTTTGTCTTTTTTATATACTGTGTTGCTTTCTACTTTGTATTGTTCAAGAGAACTGTCTAATTGTTGTACTCAATGCTAACTTAAAAATATTTAGCAACCATGCATGCAGATGCATTCTTTGCTTGCGACCTTCTGTCATTTTGCACATTTTGTTTTAGAAAATATTCATTTGTTTCCACTACCGTCCTATAATAATGTTTCACTTTGGTTGTGCTTGTGCAGAAACTTGCTTATTCAGAGCAGAAAGAGAAAATGGGATATCCTTCTGTGGGTAATGGTTGTGATGTAAATTTTGATGTGAATATGAAGCTAAATACTTGTTCTTTCTCCGTAATCCATGGAAAAGGTAAATATATTGTTTCCCATCTTACTGGAGTCAGTATTTTCTCACTTCTCAATAGCTTCAAAATTTTTGACTTCTTTTTTTTTTTTTGAAAAAAAGGTAATGAGAGCACAAATAACAAAATGGACAATGCTGAGCACCTGATGGATGGTGACAGTGTGAATGCTACTGGAGTAAGCTCTAGCAATGTGCATACTATTTCACATGTTTCTGGTGGTGTACGTAAAAGAAGTGTTGACGTGGCAAATTGGGATGATAAAGTAAATGGAAGACCTCAGCATAAGAAAATTAAACTTGATGATGGAGGTTCTGTGTGTCCAAGTTAAGCTAGGACCATAAAAATGGAATCTTAAGGTGCATGGCCCTGACCTTTCCCCAGATGGTGGCAGTGAAAGTAGCGCAATGGCAGAGATCTCAGTTTATGCAAGATGCTCATTTGCACCAACAATGAAGAGTAAATGGTGCAGTGTCTGGAAACCATGTAATTATGCTCCAGATATAGTTTCCTTAAGCTGTGCATGGGCAAGAAGAAAAATCTTGAGGGATATCTTGTCGTTTCACCAAAATGTTTGGAACTGGTAGGAGGATAAATGGATAATGTATACTAGCTGCCTTCTGATACAACAGGTTTCCTCTGCTCATGCTTTCATGGCACAAAAGGAACTGAGTAAAATGCAGCAATGTTTGAGGAGTGTTGGAAAGATGTCTAGGACTAAGCCATCTTAGATAACAGAATTGATGTGTTGTCCGATATATCTTCACTCTTGTCCGGTTAAGGAATCACCGAAGACAGCATTCCTGGAAAGCACTGCCAATGATGTCATGTTGATGTACTAACAGTAGCTGATAGCTGCTTGGAGAGCACAATGTTTACTGGCAGCTGAATATGCTCGACGCATCCCACCCCATATCTGGATTGCAAAGTGCCTCTGAGTTCAGATTTAATTTGGTCTGGAGACGTTTAACTCCTTTAGAACTTTTAGAATGATAAGAATTTTTTAGAACATTAGTGTTCATAGATTTGATGTATTTTTAACAGTGCATGGTTTTGATGTCTCTGCTGCTGTTGTGCGCCATACCCAGATATTCATACCTGAGGGATGCTAGTCGCATCTTGTGTTGTCCTTCTGGAATCTGACATCACCTAGCGCGCTTCCAAGATCTTTAGTGAATGCCATTTTGAGTGTCTTTTGGCTGTGCATCTGTGAAATTATTGCCAGTTCATGACAACTAATAGCTTTGTAAATTACCTTCTATTTCATGGTTATTCAGTAAAAGTTATTGATGGGTTCTTTTAGTTACTGAGGTTCTTTTTGCTTTTAATTGCTGCGGTGAAATGTACCATGTGTTGTACCTTTTGTTCTTTTAGGGTTCACCATGCATCAGGTTACTGTATTATTTTTGGGCATTTGCAAATTTGTCACTATCTTTTATATTTTGTAACGATGCCATTATTGTAGTGGTATTTTTGTAATTTTCTAGTGATAAATTCGCAGTAATGATTTAAAACGGTGATAAATTTGTGATTGCCCCATTTAAAACCAAACCAGGTTACTGTATATCGCATCGCTATTCACCAGACGAGGACTGGGTTTACTTTGACATGCAATCATTTGGACAAAAATATGATCATATCCCTGGATCCGGACATAGTAGTACATAGTAGTACCGTTTTTTTTTTTCATACGTGGACATAGTTGTTAAAAGACATTAAAATAAAATGTTCAACTGAGTTCTCGTTGACAACAGTTTAGATACAATGGAATCCGGTTTGGACGGGATGATATTGTCCCTAGGTATTAGGACTAAGCCATCAGGAGTGTGATATGTTTTTTCTTCTCATAAACGTATTATACTGGAGAATACCAAGGTTCCTACTTGTGCTTGCACAATGCAGTTATCACATAACTTATCATGGAATACATTGATGGCCTTTTCTTGAATAACAAATCGTGGTCATCATAAACATTTTTGCTCGAAGTCTTGTGCCCAACCCAATGGTGTGCTCCAATTATTCCATCACCTGCTCCATCTGTTGTTCTCTCATACCAACTAGAAATTTAGGAGCCAGCTATATAGCCTCCTTAAGCCTTTGTTTTGTTCCCTGATGCATCCCGTTCTCATTGGACCAGTTCATCTCTCATGTAATTTGAACTAGCACTAATGGCTTGGTGGATAACAGTGTGAGACCAAGGAGTGAATCATGAATGGGATTGATATATATATATGCATGTAGATGAGGAGTTCAGTGGCTATCAGTGTTGCTGGCTGGATGGATCGGAGGTTCACCAGATATTGCTTTGTGAATTATGATTTTATATTTACTACAATTGATTTCAAAGGATTATATACAGGACTCTGATCTTCTGCTTTTGCAGTTGATCAATTTCATCGTAGTGAATGCATTAGTTAGGGTTGTTTGAACGGCTGGACAGACATTGAATTGATGCCAAGCGGCAGAGTTTTAAGTTTTAACTCGTTTTGGCAGTTCATTTGGTAGAGTCATAGTTGAGAAGTAAGTAATAAAATAAATGAACAATCAATAAGAAATATGTAATGTGTGTCCTCTAAAGGAAGGATAGATGATGATGAAATTCTGTTGTTAATTTAATATGCATTTACTGGTATTGTCACAGCTCACATGCATGTACCTACTTGGTTGATAAATTATATCTTACTTGTATGCTAAATATTGTTAGTTTGGATATATTTTGACAACCAAGCTTTAACTAATAATTAATTAAGAGTAAAAGTACCAAGAATTTTATGCAACTGACCATAAAATAAAGGGTTTTGTGAAATTTACTCTTAAATTAACAATATAACTGTTCAGTGTCAAACATGTGACATCATTAGATCTTTAAATTACTTTCATGATAGAAAAGAAAGATCATCGTCACATACTTTGCGTTTGTAATATTATTCTCCTCGACTATTGAGCATGACTGTCCCTTCGACTTCCACTATTGACAAAAAAGAGAGCTAGATGGTCTGCTCGACATGTTTTCACATCATATGACCACACCAGACTGTAGGATGCGGTCACCAAACAAAGTGTCGGATGTAAATAATCCGAGATCAGGGTATACAAAGCAAACGCTGGACAAATACACAAAAGCAATGTAAACACTAGACACATTGTCTCCCCTTTATGTTATCCCAGACTTACATATGGGACTTCCTAGTAACTATTGCTAGCTAGTCCTATGATGAAAATATTTCACCACCATTTCCTAGCCCGACTATTTTGATGATTTTTTTCCGTAGAATCTCATACTTACAAATGGGACCAGCTAACTGTGAGCCCATAAGAACCATGACTGCAAATTAGGATAGCATGCGGTGAGAAAGTATTCTGTCACCAAAGCGCCCGGATCTGAACCTTTGACTCAACAAGGGTACGTGTTCATATTTATGAGTAGCTATTCTTTTAGGGGATGAGCAATATTTCTGTTGATAGCAAGATATTTATGGTGATTCATTTACATGAGCTGACCGTGTGTTTTTAAAGGAAGAGTATATTACACTTTGTACCATTTTTTATTATTAAAGTTTCACTTTAGACCACCACTTATCTAATTTGTTAATTTTGAATTATGTAATTTTGCATTTGCACATTTCATATCATCCAAACCCTCTTCTCGAGCACAGCAACGGCTTTAAATGCATTAGCACATGCATACCGGCAATTTTCTCCACTTACATGCAGACTGCCCTTTGCCAAAGGAGGGGATACAAAAATGATTTTCACAAGCAGCCGATGAATTTTCAAAGGCGGCTAGCACAACCGCCAACGACCTAAGACCAATGAAAATAGACAATTTTCACTGGTGGTTGCGGTCGGCTTGCGAAAATCAATTTTTGCAGGCGGACACTTTAAGAGAACCGATTTTTGCAAAAATCCATTTTCTCAAATGACATTGCTAACAGGATCACCAGCAAAAATGTTTTCCTGCTAAAAAAATAATCAAAATCAAAATGTTTAGCTGAATTTTCAAATCCACACTTGAAGACCCAAACAAATCAAACATCCAAAGAGCACTGCATCGATTTCACTCTATTTTCACCATGCAAACATCAAACGCATGCGTCAACAATAATCGTCACAACGGCGTTCAAAGTCCCTACCACCTAATCCATTCGTCAATCACAAAGTTCATCACAAAGAGAAGGGGAAGGAAGGAAGGACGGGGATGGAGCGCTAGATCCGGCCGCTGCCTCCACCGCCACCTCCACGCACCACTATCATCGGATTCATAATCTCCAAGTCGCCACCGTCGTTCTCTCCTGCATGCCGCTGCCGCCATAAACAACCTCACCGGTGACCTTGGAGGCCGCTGAAGTTGTTGTGGACGAGCCGCTGCCGCCACCCGCACTACTAGGAAATCGGGCTTATGCAACGGCTTGAATTCGTTGCAATATACCCAAAACGGTTGCAATAAGTGCAATTGCAACGGATTTTTGTTGTTAGGGCTCGTGGCGCAAAAGTCCGTAGCAACAGGGTTTTTACCACTAGATCAGTTTGCCGTTGCAAATAAAAACTCCTGTTGCAACTGAATGAACCGTGGCAATTAACAGATAAGCCAACGGTTGGTTAGTGGTAATACAACGTATTGCAACGCCATATGTCGTTACCGTAGGAACTAGTCGCATCGCACCAAAGCGTGGTATTGCCACGGACCTCAAACGTGGTAATAGGTCGACCTCTATTGCCATGCTCACAGTTTGGTTGCTATAGATAGTTCCCACTATTACCACGCTACACATGTCTTGTTGCTATAGTTGGACTCTCTATTGCCACTCTAAATATTTGTTTGCTATAAGTGGGTACCTCTATTTGCCACACACAATTTGGTGGCCAACCAGATAAATCAAAACAATATATGATAAAAAATATAGCATTTTACACCCATAACACAATATCCATTGATGAAACCATCAAATGCTAAATTCTAGAACACACTCAGTACTCAAAGACATAATATTTGTAACACAATTGTGCGAGGACATCCAAAGCTAAATAGCTGAAATTCCACGGAATTCTTTCATCCGGCTTAGAGTTCAGCAAAGCCATCACACTGCCTTCACGTCGACATTCCCATCAATTATCCATCCACTACTTTGTCCTGAAAAGAAAGAATGACATTGGTATTTGCATCATATGAAATTAAACTTGTTAAGTATTTGCTACCGCAGCAAGGTTGATCAAACTGAGAACATATAACAAAACCTTACACTTTCACAGGTGAAACAGAAGTGTAACACCCCAGGTATCCACTTACCTAGAATGCTACACACTACGGAACAAAAACCACTAAGTCCTAAATTCATTAAGAATTTCGACAGAGTCCCTCTTGTAAATATGGATATCCACGACAGACAGTTATAAATTAAACTAATAATAATATCATTTTCATAGTGTGATCCATCCATATAACCCACGGAATGAAACTAATAGATATTTAATAGATTATTACAAGACCAAACCAGAATATAGGTTAAGTGTCATTATGGACCTAAGCAATATAATTTGATAGTGTGCAGATAGGTGTGTATACAAGGGTGCTACTTCCCACCCATGCATGCCGACCTCAATGTGTACCTAAAACCGAATAAACACAAGACTGAGTATGGAAATACTCAGCAAGTACAACTGTACAATATGGAACTAGAAAACAGATATACACATCATTGGCAATAAAGCTTGAATAGAAAGCTTTCTTTCTTTGATAAGAAACACATTTTCAAACACCAAGTCAAAGAAAGTAGTAGTTCCCATCCCGAGCAGGCAAGAATTGAAATAGTAGTTTCCATCCCGGACAATTGTGAATACATCCTAGCATTTGTCAGCAAAGCTGAGTAAGCGTGGAGGACACCGCACAAAGTCACTTTTGGAGGAAAATACCCTATAAACGTGGTAATTTCCTAGTGGACACCGCACCCATTAAAATAATAATTTTCGGTAGAAGGGGAGAAAGAAATCGTGTGAAATGTCAGAAATACCCCTAGACCCACATGTCAGCTCTCCCATCTCTTTTCTCTCTCACCCACAAGTTTTTCTCTCTCACCCAACCATGGCAGGTGGCGGCGGCAAGTCTGTCGTGGCGGCGCTGGCCGTGGCCTTCTTCCTCCTCGCCGCCTTCGCTTCGGGTTTGTCGACTGCGGATGCCACGTCGGGGAGGGGTACCAGCGGTGGGGGAGGCAGCGGCGCGGCTAGGCTCCGGCCAGCGCCGCCTACCTTGGCACCACACCCGCTGGTAGGGGACGCCACGTCGGGGAGGTGTACCTGCGGTGGGGGAGG